CACACACACACACACACACACACACACACACACACACACACAAACAAAAAAATTAACTTCAGCTCCCCCCTTTTATTTTCGGAGGCCCCGTGCGGCCTCAAATTTTTGTTTTTATTTTTTTGTGGTTTTTGACGCGACATCCCACTCGGGCCTAGAACACCCCTCCTCAACTTTTTTTTTCCTTTCTGGACCCCTTATTTTTGGGGTGCGCTGCACCCAGTGTGTGCGCGTCGGGTGCTGTGCGCGGTGCAGCGCATGTATGAAAAAAACATCTTATGCAGAAAAGTAAACAGAACAACTTTTGCCGCAGGGTCACATTGAAAATGTTTACCAAATTAAAAAAAGGAATATATCATATATGTATTTTTGAAATATTTTTTCTATTTTATTTTTATTTTATTTTTGGCTGGGCCGGGCAAGTGGTTGAGGGCAACATAGTATTAAATAGTATTAGTCTAATTTAGTCAATGACTCAATGGTAATGGGATGGTGGGTGTCAATTCTGTGATTGATGGTGTCTTCTTTACACAGGTGGAGCATCCTGTGACAGAGATGATTTACTCCATCGACCTTATCGAAGAGCAGATCCGTGTGGCCATGGGCAAGAAACTGCGTTATACACAGGTGTGCCTCTACATCTGTGATGGTAATCCTGTAAGCTAAGTGGCAGCTGCCAGGGCTCTAAATTGCCTGCTTTGAGCAAACTGCAGTAGCTTTATAGTGTCTCTGGTTTCTCCTAAGCTTAACAATGGAAGTCGCAGGCAATGTTTTCTCAATGCAAGAATCTCTAGGTGGTCACTCTTTGAGGTTACCTTTCTGGATTTGGTTAGGCGGATATTACCTTGTGCCAGCAATCTTTTGGAAGCTGGAGTCTCTCCAATGACCCTGGATGACCATGGTTCATTACTGTAATTGACTGATATGATGTTGTACACAGTGCTGGGCCGGCAACCGGCCGGTTGAGCTACCCCGGTCCAACCGGAGCCGGACCAGACCAGGGGGGGTGAACCGGGAAACCGGTTTTGAAAAAAAAGTGCCCAAATATCTTCTTTTTTTTTTTTTTTTGACAGATTCCGACTGCACTCTTCAAGAACTGTCTGAATCCGCAATAAAATTTTCAAGGTACAATATTTTTCAGGGGGCTTCCAGAGGGGGGGAGGGAGGTATTATTGACATATTCAGCTTCCTCGGGGAGGGTCAAGTAAGCAACTTCACTTATCCGAAACCCCCGTGACTGGAGCACTTCGTGGAGTATGTCATTTGATATTGATACCTCACGAGGTGATCCAGATATGATGAGAGGAGGTCCTTGCCCGAAATTATAGCTCTTCCAGAGTATATTTCGACAGCAGAAAAGTTATGGTTCCAGCTTTCTGCTCGTGGAGCAGAGCGTTTTCTGTTTGTTGGTTTCTACACAAGGTGAGTTGTCAGTCCAGAAGTATCTTGCCTGGCAGTCTGTCCAGACACATGTAGTGGAGCAAGGTCCATATGACATAGATAGAGAGAAGAATATGGGCCTCGCTGCACTAAAACGAGAGTGAATCTTCAGCTAGAATTCGGAAAGATACACCGCGAAGATTTTTGTCTTTTGTGCATGTCGAGAGTAGTGCAGCGACGCCCTATAGCTTAGGTCCATTCTTGGGATTCTTGCCTGGCAGTCTGTCCAGATACATGTACTGGAGCAAGGTCCATTC